CTTTTCTAGACTGCCTGGTAAGCCACAACGACAACTCATTACGAACGACAGTTTACAGGAAACCGACACACACCGACAGATTACTAGACGAGTCATCCTACAACCCTACATCACACAAAGCCACAACTATCAGAACTCTAACACGACGCGCACAACTAGTATGTGACTCGACAGACAGCTTATCCGACGAGAACAAATACCTTCACCGTGTTTTTACGAAGAACAACTACAACAACGACTTCATCCGACGAAACACTCACCGACCCACTACCACTACCGAAACAAACGACACCGCAACCCCTACGACTACAGCAACCATACCGTACATAAAAGGTATGTCTGAAAACATCTCGCGCATCTTACTACCCTTCAATATCCGCGTCGCCCACAAACCCATCACCACACTACGTCAGTTACTAACCAACGTTAAAGACAAAGACGAACCGAGGAACAGACAGGGAACGATTTATAAGATCAATTGTTCCGACTGCCAAGCCTCCTACATCGGTGAGACTGGCAGAAACCTCACAACAAGACTGACTGAACACAGACGGGCGACGAGGAAAGGTGATGTCAGCAATCACATTGCTGAACACCATCGACTTACCAACCACAACATTGACTGGGACTCTGCGCAATGCCTAACCTACAGCACTGACTATTTTCAACGACTGACTCTGGAAAGCTGGTTTACTAACTTAGAACAGACTCCCCTAAACAGATGTCAACAACTACCCGCCCCATACAAACGACTCATTCACGACATAAACATCACAAACGACCGAAAAAGAACAACCTAGCTTTACCGACAGACCGAAACAGACCAATCACGACCGACTTACGTCACTTGAGTCTTACAGCCAATAACATCACGGCAAAACCAACCGATCATTTCACACGAACTGGAATAAGAACATTCTACTGACAACAATCATTCACTTGACTCTGATGATGACTTCCGCACAGGTTGTCGAAACGTCAGTCACTGCCACCGACAACAGTCCTTCTCAGGACTACACTCACCCGGACAATCAGACTACACCTTCACATACTAAATAAGATAACACAAAATGATCAAAGTACTTTATACTGCACAATTTAGGTAACTGGTATACTTGGTATACTGTAAAAAATTGTGAGTTTCCTTATGGCTTTAACTTTATCACGAAATAAAGCAAATGTGAGCATTGAACTGGTTAAAACACTTTTAACCAAGAAAATTGAAACCTTCTTATGTTATACCTGGACCATCTCTAGTGAAATGTTTCCAATCATTAGAACTTCATCTTCTATTCTTTTCTCAAACTCTTCATCATAAAGTTCAATCGGCTCATTAGCAAGCCCTTGCTTGAGCTCATCAATGCGGCGTTGCTTAGCATGCTTCTCCTCGGGGAGTATAAGTGGTGGTGGTGATGCAGTTGTCTCTAGTTCAGATTCTCCCCCATCTAATGTTCCCATCAGCATGTCTAGGTCAGGGAGATCCTCATTTTTGGGAGGTGCTGTTATGAAATAAATTTAGACCAGGAAAATGTATTCAATATATATATATATAAAAAAATAAAAATCTTTCTCCACTAAATTGAAAACTGCCAATTTCAAAACTGAAACTCTGATGCTGCATTCTTAAATAACAACAAAAAAACCATTGTACAGAGTACAATATAATATTCAAGTCCATGGAGAAAAGGGTTTCACAGGTGAAACAACTGTTACCACAGACCCAAAGACAACTTAGGTTAAAACAAAAGAATCAAGAGAAAGAAGCTTGTAAGGTTGAATCAAGAATTTCTTGGAATGCAAAAAGCCCAATGAATCATAGTTATAATTGTTTATGATCCATAGTTATTCATCAGTTTAATGAATGTGCAAAAGTATAATAACAAATTACCATAATCTTCATCATCTTCAGATGCTGGCCAATCATCATCTTCCTCAATGGGGTTCATTTGTGGAGGAGTATCCATTGAACGATACATGGCCCATGGCAACTCATCATCAAGCTCATACTTTGAGTAATCTTCACTTGTCTCTGTTTCATTGGTGACCACAGTTTCACTGGTCAGTGGCATAGTCTCTTCTTCCTTAGTATCTTCAGTTTTGATTTCACCTTCTTTGCCCTCTGGATTCTCAGATTTAACCTCCCTCTTTCCTTCATCAGTACTGGGTTCCCCCGCAATGGGCACAGCAACATGCTCTACACTGTCAATTTTCTCTGCAGCAACCTCTACTGGTTTCTCCTCCAGTGTATCAACATCAACCTGAACTGTAGATTTTTCCACAACTTGTTTTGGTTCAGAATCTGTTCCATCACTTGTCACTGCATTTGGATCTTGTTCTGTATCTTTTTCTTTTTCATCTTTATTGTTCTGCTTGTCATCAAGTTCAACTTCTATCTTTACTTCTGTGCTCTCCTCTTCTTTGACAGGTTTGAGCTCCTAGAAGATAACATAGAAGTGTACAGTGACTTGTTGAATTATAAGGGTGAGGTGAGTTCTGAAGTACCCACAGGCTACTTTCAATTGAACTTTTCAATCTTTCCACAAACATGTACTTTTTATTTGGCTTTCCCAGTGACACATTCACAAGTAAAAGTTGTGTAATTTTCACTTCCAAGCTCATTTGTCAATTCAGTCTTAGAATACAAATCATACAGTCACAACTGCACTAAGTGAATGAAACTGTGACTCTATTCTGGAAATCGTTAAATTAAGTTGTCAAAATGTACCATGACAACTGGCCGAGGCTGAAACTTGCCCAGTCATCACACTTCAAGATTTCAAAAACTAACTTTATATTATGTACCACCACAATAACTTATCCTGCAATTGCCTATGGCTCTTAAATACCATGATTTCCATCCTAGCTAGTGAACACAAATACAGGGGTGGCGAATGGTAAATGCGAGACTTTGCGAGACAGCGAGACTAGCGCTTTTCTTTGCGAGCCCGAGACATTTCGACTTTTTACATTGTGAGACCGAGACTTCAAAGGGTTTTGAATGCGAGCGTGAGACGTTCAGGCTGCGAACCCAAGCTTTGGTTGAGAGCTATGAGAATGAACTAAAATGAGCTTGTACAAAAGTCTCACAAAGGATCCTTTTGTTGTAAACCCTTGTATAAAACATCAGATCTGAAAATCTGTCAACAGTCAATAAATTTAATTTTTTTCCTGGTCACGATCTAAAGGAGGTTGCGCTTGGTCGTTTCCCTTTGAGTTTTTTGACTGACGTGCTGTCACTTACAACTCAAGTTGTCTGGAAGTCGTCAGAAAGAACACGCGGCCGTGTCTGAAAAAATTTTGTTGTTGATCGAAACGAATTGGGACTTCGAGAATCCCAAACGAATTGGGACTTCGAGACCCTTAGCCTTGCAAAAAATCAAGACACCTTCATATAAAAAACGAGACTGCGAGATGCGCATAACCGCTGAAAAAATGAGACTGCAAGACCTACGAAATTCAACTAAAATTTTACGAGACCCAGAGTTTTTGAAGGACCATTCACCACCCCTAAATACCAACAAGGTGAATCAGCCAACTCAAAAGGATTTCACTTAATAAGTGTCTCTATATGTAACCTGGAAATGAAAGTGCGAGGTCAGTTTAATGTTTTCAAACTGATCAACAACAAAATTTGCCTTCAAATTTCGCCAGTCCTCAAATACACTGTGACTGCCAAAAATATTCTCCTTCTGATAAGCTTTAGTCTGGAGTGGGGCACATGTAAGCTGGACTAGTTAACAGTTTGACAGCTAGACCAGTCTCAGTTAGAATTCAATTAAATTTTTAAATTAAAGTTATCACCCTCCGATTCTTTAAAATGCAGCTGCTGGAAGGAAAATCGTACCTCAGATCCCGGTCTTGTAGTTACAGCTTTCTCCCCGGCCTGTTGGTCAATGCTATCACTTCGTAAATCAGACAACGTCGCTCTCCTTCGTACAGCCGCGCTCTCGACAGCTTCGCTGTCTTTCTCTTCGTCTATCTTTTCTTCCCCGCTGGCCTCAGCTGAATCCCCAGCTTCTCGAGCTGTGTTGCCTCCTTCGATCAAAGCCGAATCTTTCTTGACTACCACTTCTTCAAGTTCATCCGGCTTATTCTCACTTGCTTGTATCTCGATCACCGTTTCTTTCAGTCCTTCATCTACGGTGACCGAAGCTTCCAACTGTTTATCATCGCCTTCAGCTTCGACTTTTTGTTGCAAATCAGACGATACATTCTCTTTTAAATGTACCTTTTTCCTTCCTTTCCTCTTAAGTGAACTTTCTCCTTCGTCATTTTCGTCTTTGGACTCAACAGATTCTCTATGTTTCTTTCCTTTACCTTTCTTCTTTGCTTTCTTTGCGGGGCGTATAGCGGACTCTTCCCCAGTAACGTTACCGACTGGGTTTTGTTCATCGGCATCAAGCTCTTCGGAAGCTACTTTGTCACTCATTATTACTGAAAGTCAGTAAGTTAGACCCCAAACTTCAAAACATCCAGCTTCGATCAAACCAAAGGCTGCAAGAGTCGAAGTCTCACCAAAGCACGAAAGTTTCCAACAGCGAGTGAAATTTATATCAGCTCCACGCCGCCATAAAAGACTTCAGTAGGTGACATTCGCAAATGAGATCGTTTTCGTAGAATTAAGAGGACATCAACCTGACACAGAATCTACAGAATTTCACGAAGAAATATGAGTAATTGTCTCGAGGATCTATGCTGTGACGTCATTTCACGGTCCATGAGTACGATCCTGCGTAGCGAAGTAAACTTTCTTTACATCTCCACAGCAACGTCTCAAACATAATAATACACTTTCACTTGACTGTGCAAATTTTAATTCTTCTTTCAATTGCAGTGAGTAAGCATTGTGTTCATAGGTAGAGGTAACCTAGCAGTTTTCGTTCCAGGCGGGGCAGTGCGTACTATGAGAACTACTTTGATCAAATAGACATACGCAAACGACTCAGAAATTGATTGCATTAACGAAAAGAACCAGTGAAATAGTTGCCTTCATTTACATGATTCTTCTTCTCGGGTCTTGTCGTATTATGAACGAAGGAGCCCCACTCTTCTGCCCTAACTTGAAATCGACTCACAGCCCCTCGGTCTCCCAGGATGAGCAAAAACTGGACAAAGAATGATTAACTTAAAATAGTTTCGGAAATCGCCAAGACTAGAAGGAGTCAACTGAACTGTTTGTTTAGTTAACATACCAGATGGATCAATTCAGTAGACACGATCTAAGAAAAATGGAGGGTCTCAATGGGGTTAAATGTAAGCCGTAAAACGGCAAAACAAATTTGGCCGCTAGGCGTAAAAATTGACAAATTTTAATCGTTACTCGTAGAAAAGTTAACGGTAAAATTCTTAATTCTAATCGCAGCCAAAATTTTAACTGTTATCTGTTAGCCATCACCCCATTGAGATTCTCAGAATGTCAAGGGATGTCCAAAGAACTGTCACAAGTACAGATGGAAATACAATGTCAAAGCGATTAGTTTTTATCTTTAATAAATTTATTGATCCTGTCTCTGTTTACAAGCAACTCTTAAATAAGGACGTGCCGACGATTACTGTAGTTAAGTTCGTACAAAATAACAAGACGACAACAATGATACGTAGGACAGTGGGAGAGTTAACGCAAATTAGATTACAACAATGAAGTATTTGTCAGTTTGGTTATGTACACTCCAAGTGAAAAACAGGACGTTGATATAAAACTAAAAGTCGATGAAACGTTCTTCTGTTTCCCAACTATGTAACTGCGATTTGGCATGAAAAGAAATATCAAAACACTTGCCATCTGAGAACCACCCACATCTGTCGTGTTGATTTTAACAACACATCTAATGTGGCTTTCCCGTCCACTGCAATAATTTCGCGATTACACAATTAAATTTCTTTATGCTTGGTCTGCAAAGAAAGCGGCTACGTAACACGCAAAAAATTATCTACTTCTTGTATAAAACAATGAAATTTTACATCTCAAAGCATATTTCCTTGCGTAGATCTTCTCTTGGACGATATTATATGTTTTAGAGCTGTTAAGTCTTTCGACGAGGATAGAAAAGGGCTGGAAGTTTTGAGTTCTGGTGTGACAAATTTGGACGTAGATTCTAAGTTTTAAAACTTAAACCAGATGACTATGGACAAGTAATTTTACCCATCAATAGCTTTCTTGAGTTCATGGACCAAACTGAGTGTTGCATTAATCTTGTTACACTCTCGTCGCTGTTTATTCCTTTTGTCAATGGCTTTCCGCATTGCTCCTGTACTCCAAGTTATTCTCGATTTAGCTCTACGAGCTTCTTTCTCCAAATTCTTTCGTTTTAATTTAAGTTGTCGTAGCGTCTGTGGTAACTGCTGCTTCACGTCTGAAACCCTTTTCTCCATCGACTTGAGTCTTGCATCGTACTCCGCACGGAATTGAGCCAAAATGGTTCTTTTGTCTGAGTTGCTGATTGCCCACTGAGACGAAAGAATAAAGTCCACTATACTTTCATGTTCCGTTCCGCTCAGTAAATGAGCGTGCGAGTGTTTTGTAGGGTCAGTGGTTGTGCTGCTCTTTGGAGATATAAGTGACCCTTGGTTTTCTTTCAGAAGTCCAGGCGAGTTTTTATCTGACTCAGCTTCCACGCATCCTTCTTTCTGTATGTGCCCACCATTTACTGGGAATAAAATATAACGATGAGAAATCGACCTTATGTCCAGCATCTCCCCATCCCGTTTTACCACTCAGGAAGCCGCACTTCGGTTCACCTAGTCTGAGATAAATGAAGTCCAGATAGAAGAGAGCTAGGAGACTGGATTCAGCATACATCTTTATCCTCCCCCCCCCCCTTAGAGACTGGATTCAGCATACATCTTCACTCTCCCCCCCAACTTAGAGACTAGATTCAGCATACATCTTTACCCTCTCCCCACCTCACAGACTGGATTCAACATACATATTCACTCTCTCCCCCCCTTAGAGACTGGATTCAGCATACATCTTCACTCTCTCCCTCCTTAAAGACTGGATTCAACATACATCTTCACCCTCTCCTCCCCCTTAGAGACTGGGTTCAGCATAGATCTTCACTCTCTCTCCCGCCCTTCGAGACTGGATTCAGCATACATCTTCACCCTCTCCCCCCTTGGAGACTGGATTCAGCACACATCTTCACCCTCTCCCCCCCTTAGAGACTGGATTCAGCAGACATCTTCACCCTCTCCTCTCCTTAGGGACTAGATTCAGCATACATTTTCACCCTCTCCCCCCCCCTTAGAGACTGGATGATTTCAGCATACATCTTCACCCTCTCAGAGACTGGATTCAGCATACATCTTCACCCTCTCCCCCCCCTCTTAGAGACTGGACTCAGCATACATCTTCACCCTCTCCCCCGCTTTAAAGACTGGATTCAGCATACATCTTCACCCTCCCCCCCCTTAGAGACTGGATTAAGCATAAATCTTCACTCTCTCCCACTTAGAGACTGGATTCAGCATACATTTTCACCCTCTCCCCCCCTTAGAGACTGGATGATTTCAGCATACATCTTCACCCTCTCAGAGACTGGATTCAGCATAAATCTTCACCCTCTCCCCCCGCCTCTTAAAGACTGGACTCAGCATACATCTTCACCCTCTCTCCCCCTTAAAGACTGGATTCAGCACACATCTTCACCCTCTCCCCCCCTTAGAGACTGGATTCAGCATAAATCTTCACTCTCCCCCCACTTAGAGACTGGATTCAGCATCCATCTTCACTCTCTCTCCCCCCTCCCCCTTAGAGACTGGATTCAGCACACATCTTCACTGTCTCCCCCCCTTAGAGACTGGATTAAGCATACATCCTCACCCTCTCCCCCCCTTAGAGACTGGATTCAGCATACATCTTCAACCTAACCCCCTGAGAGACTGGATTTAGCACACATCTTCACCCTCTCCCCCCCTTAGAGACTGGATTCAGCAGACATCTTCACCCTCTCCCCTCCTTAGAGACTGGATTTAGCATACATCTTCACCCTAACCCCCTAAGAGACTGGATTCAGCAGACATCTTCACTCTCTCCCCCCCTTAGAGACTGAATTCAGCATAGATCTTCACCCTCTCCCCCCCTTAGAGACTGGATGATTTCAGCATACATCTTCGCCCTCTTAGAGACTGGATTCAGCATACATCTTCACCCTTCCCCCCCTTAGAGACTGGATTATTTCCGCATACATCTTCACCCTCTCCCCCCCCATAGACAATGGATTCAGCATACATCTTCACCCTCTGCCCCCCTCTTAGAGACTGGATTCAGCATACATCTTCACCCTCCCCCTGTTAGAGACTGGATTCAGCATACATCTTCACCCTCTCCCTCCCTTAGAGACTGGATTCAGTATACATCTTCACCCTCTGCCCCTCTTAGAGACTAGATTCAGCATACATCTTCACCCTCTCTCCCCTTTAGAGACTGGATGATTTCAGTATACACCTTCACCCTCTCCCCCTCTCCCCCCCTCTTAGAGACTGGATTCAGCATACATCTTCACCCTCTTCTCCCCTTAGAGACTGGTTTCAGCATACATCTTCACTCTTCCCCCCCCCCCTTACCCCCTTACATTAATTTTGGGTCACTCTCCCATCCTCAAGTCAAGACAACCGAGCTGGACAACTCGAACGGAGGACAAGCGTATCACGGGTTAAGACGCCACCCACTTGGCCACGCCCTTCCACATGAGACTTACCCTTTGCACTCCCCTGGCCCTCCAGCAGAGTGGGGGATGACTCCCTTGTATCACATAAATGTTGGAGGAACTTCAACAGTGGTGCGCCATGCAGACTTCTCATGAGTAATGACTCAACAGATTGCCCACTGTCGTTTCTCTTCTTTAAAGAAGTCCACAATGCCGACCGAGCCTCTGAAGAACTTAGTTCTTTCAGCTGAAAATGGACGAAAACTCTGAACACATAAACAAGAAGCATTGCAGCCGGCAAGGGAAGCTTTCCCTGGCCCATCATTTCCGCTAAGGAATGAAAAGCTGTGTTTCCTCTGCAATCTTTCATTGACAACAAGACCTTTACAGGGGTTGTGCGACTCAAAGTCTTAAAAATGTTTACAACAGCATTAGACAGAAAGAGATTGTGCATAGTTCCTTCAAAATGACGGATTAACCGCATAACCATATGTAAAGGCGTCTCTCTGGTTTCTGATGTCTGGATCACAGGGTCAAAACCAATTTTGGACAGTTCTTCTAACGCCTTGTATTTACCAAGAAGACAGGCAAGGTGAACGATTGGAAAACGCAGTTTTGATGATGGCTCTGGGATATCACGATGGATATGCCACAAATTATCATTCAGATAGTTTCTGAAATTTAGTAATGATTTACTTTCCACTGAGGGTACTTTAACACTTCGATGGTCAGGTGTAGCACACAACAGCTGAATCAGTTCATGATGTCTTAAACGACAGGAGGATTCGCACAAAAATGTGTGCAGACCTATAAAAGAAAAAAAATATGTTTTATAGATCATGAAAAGTTTTCACAATTTGTTTACAAAAAAAGGGCAAAAAGACAATCTCGAGTGCAAATAATTATTTTGACCTTGCAACTTTAGCTTACAGCTCATCAAAACTGCTCTTCCAAAATTTAATGCCTCAATTTAAGGTTTGAAACTAAGATAACAAGAGAATTGTCAGGAATTCAACCTGTGAATAATACGCCACAGTACTGCTGTGCAAACTTACAATAAAACATGACAAATCCTGTGTTATGTATAAAATTAGTCCTGCATAATACTAACTCAGCTAAGTCTCCTTCTAGCAGTTACAGAGATTTTTCCCAAAAGCTTTTCAATGGGCAACACAATAGAAAACAGAAACTTAATTTTGTCAGGCTCAAAAATTTTTTAACCAAGTAGTAGTCCACCTTTCAATCACTGAAACCTAAAGTAGTTTGTAATTGAACAAAACAAAAAGAATACTAATTTTCAAGGTACCTCAGGTACAAACAGGATTGCGAACAATCAATCAAATGACAACATGGCCAATCTAAATAATGACATCTCTGTAGTGTTCAAATCAAGTGTGTCAAAATATTTAATACACCTTTCTAGTCAAACAGACAAAAAGAAAACTTATTAAGTTGTAAAGGAGATTAAAAATAACAAGTTGAAATTCAATATTTTCCCTAAGCCTTGTCAATGCACACCCAGTGTACCTTTCTAGCCAGGTGTCTCCAATAAAATGGCTGCACAGGCCAGAGAAGCTTAAGGTTAACTAGCTTAGGCAGGAAAAAAACAGATGCAGTTTGATTTGCTTTATCAAAGGTCAGAATAGATGAGAAACAGCTGGGTTAAATACAGCCCTTGAAATATACTCATGATCTAGAATTTTGGGTTCTGGTCAAGGATTTAGAGAGACTAATCATAGGAAAGGATACCGGTAGTTGAATAACACGAATGGGATACAGTGCAAAATATGATTGAGTTTAGGCAGTTTAAATCCACTTTTCTAATATGCCTAGTTAGAGAAAAATGCATCTGAATGGGTTTTTGACATGGAAGGATTTCTTGTCTTGATGGTAAATTTAGGTGCATTTACTGCAAACAAATATTCTCTTTGAAGAGGTCATATCTACCACACTAGAAGTGCCCCATGTAGATGTTTGTTGCTTTTGCATAATCCCAGTTTCTGTTACTTGTTAGCTTTACATAATTTTCAAGATGAATAATATTGCACTGACTACCAGAACCTGAGGATCATAATGCAAAGGAAATTCATACTTACACAAGTGAAGGGGAGTTTCATAAGGGTTGTCCTTGACTTCTATGATTTGGATCTTATTAGGTTGATCAAGATTTCTACAACCAGATGGAGTCTCCTTCTTCTTTTCAAGAGTGACATCTTTCTGCGTACCCACCGAGACAGCAAGAGTATCTTCACATAGAGATTCTGAACCTTCCTTGTCTATTGTTAGTGACTTAGAAATGCCAGCTGTTTCTCCCAACCAGCTACAGTCTCCATTCTGGCTCAAATCAAGATGTTCAGAATCTGACACAGGCTCCTCATTTGTTTTGTCTTCTTCATTAGCAGACATTCTATCTGATATATCTTCCTCTGAGTATTTTTTATTTTTCTTGCGATCTTCCTCATTGCCTGCTAAGGCTAACAATTTAGAAGTTGTTGTTGAGGTGTCTCCAGTTTCCTTGTCAGCTCCAAGATAACTACAGTGTCTTTCTATTGATGTTTCAGTCAGTGTGGATACTACTCTTCTCAAAACTTGCATATCAATATCATCAGTTGCTTGATAAATATCAGGAAAAGGCTGTTTTCCACTTGCTACACAAGCTAACACATCATCAATGTTAGACACTTCATTTGTTGGTGAAGATGACAAGGATAATCTCAAATCATTGGAATATTCTTCAGGTGAATAACTTGAAGAAGGAGCTTGTAAATCAAGTGAAAAATCTTCTCTGAAAGAAGCCGTTACTTCAGGTAGTATTTCCTCTTCCTTCTTCACCAACAAATTTCCTGACGACTTGTTCATAGTATCAACATTTTCCCATTCACTAAGACAAGATGTATTCTCTGCAAAACCTTGCTGTGATTTTAAATCATCTGAACATGACCATCTCATTTCATCAAAACCTTCCTCAGCCGCAGCGCTATTCCCACTGTTCACACTAGAAGAACAAACTTTATTCTCTGAATCATTTGCAGCGGACACCTGTTCTGGTTTTGCACCAAGTGACAGTGTAAAGACAATAAAATCTTTCTCATGAGTAAACTCTGTTTCAATACTGATGGCAGAAGAGTGTGCCTCAGCTGATTGGCCGTCTACTTCAGACATTGGTTGCCCGTCAATGATTTCCATGGGTGAAATCTCAAGTGTCTTTGTTCACACTTTCTGCAAGCTGAGCTTCACCTAGCAGACACTCTTCTTTAGGAATTTTTCCTTTCAAATTGACCATAGCTGGTGTAAACACAATATCAGTACTCACATAGACAACGAAAACATTTCTTATCTCGTCCAAACTATTTCTTTAACTAAAGGATCTGATGCAATGTCCATCAAACAAGTGATGTTCGGTGGATGCCAATATATTGTCCTCTAACACGGGATTATATTTCAGGTAACTCCATCGTTAGAAAACAAGGAAATTTTAACCAAGTAGCCTCAAGTTCACAGACAGTTTGACTTCTTCACCGTTAACAGCCCTTCCAATTTCAGAAGAGAAGTCGTACACCCACGTATTTCTTCAAGTAGCAGCCAAACAACAACTTGGTAACCAAGCTTTCCACGCAGAGGGAACGCAGGAAAACTAACTACGCATGCAACAGTTATAATTTTGGATAAAGGCTGATAGTTTCGAAAGAAACTGTTTGGGGCTGCGTCGGTGGGAGTAACGAAATAATTTGGATATATCAACAAAGTTGAAATGGTAAATTGGCCACCGTAATGATTACAAAAGCTGACGTTTCGAGCGTTAGCCCTTCGTCGGAGCGACGACGAAGGGCTAACGCTCGAAACGTCAGCTTTTGTAATCATTACGGTGGCCAATTTAGCATTTCAACTTTGTTGATATATCCAAATAATTTTGGATAAGCGGGTTGAGATGGGACACTTTGAGTGACTAATTTTTGAGATATTTTTGAGCATATCGAGTGGTATGTTACTCTCACCAACCAGATTGTTGCATTAGGGTATGTCACGGCTCACTCCAATCAGATTGTTGCATTAGGCTGCATTCATAATGTTGACAGAGCGGGGGAGGGGGGCAGGTGGAATTTTTTTATTACCAAAAACAATTTTCAACACCCTGACCTCAACTCTTGAAAAAATTTCCACTCCCCCCTACCCATACCAACACCATAAAATTTTAAAATGTAACAATAAGGTTCATTTTTTATCAATGTACCTATGCAAGGAAGTCTTGATATCTACTACTAGGCCTGCACTGTCAACCAGATCGAGAGGTTACTGCGGATCCTTGATATACCTGATGCACATTCATATCATCAGACGCGGGCTTTTGCTTGTTGGTGAGTATCGACTTCTTACCCTTGTGGTTTGGAGTGTGTTGTTGGTGGTTTTTGAGTGGAGGTTAAGTGTCAGTTAAGTGAGTACCTGCCGGGAGGGAAAACTTGTGGCCTTTCCCTCTTGGGCAGGCGGCTCTTTTTTCTCTTTCTGTGTTTTCGGCCACCCATCCCTTTTTGGGCTCTTTTGGGTCGGTCCGAGCTGTCTTTACTATGGTTTTCCTACAAAGGTCAATTGATATTCGGTGCTGCGATTTCCCTGAGGGGACTTCGCGAGCGACTGTAATTGGCTACATTGACCATTACTTTAAGGTTGAGTCTCAATCAAGTGTTGTTGCAATCCAGGAGTGTCCCGGCGGTGTCGCGCGTGTGACGTTTGCTGTAGGGGACAATGCGGCTAAGGCTTTTTTTGAGGAACAGGCCTCTGTGGTGCTGGGCGGGGTTGAGTGTGAGATAGTACAACCTCCTCCCCCGCCTCCCATGGTATCTACTGTCGTTGTGTCTTGGTTCCCTTTTGAGGGTTCCAACCCTTTCGGGCTATGGCGAGGTAAAAGACGTCAGGCTGCAAGTTTGGCCCGGAAGACCTTCTGTGTCTACTGGTTCGCGCCTTGTGCGCATGATAATATCGAAAGAGATTCCGCGGTTTATTTCTGTGGCCGGAGTGAAATGTAAAATCTGGTATAAAGGGCAACCTCTACGTTGTGACCTATGTCACAAAATCGGACATAAGGCGTCCAGCTGCCCTCTTAAGGGCAAGTGTTTCCACTGCGGTCAGCAGGGCCATCTTGCTCGCAAGTGTCCCACGCCATGGGGTCCTCAGGTCTCTGCAGCCTCTAATGAAGTTGCTCCTTCTGATGCTGCTGCGGAAGATGCAAGCGGGTCGGCGGGTACCGCCGATACTGTCTTGGCGTCTGGCGTGACATCAGCTCCTGTTAATATTGAATTAGTTAAAGAAAATAATGTATTAGGTAAAGACAATAATGAATTAGTTAAAGAAAATAACGAATTAGTTAATGCCAATAATTGGGCTGAGATTGTCGAATCTGAAATGCCAGATTCTAACAGCAATCCTGTGATTGAGGAAGTCGTTGCGGAAGGCAGCTCTTCTGTTCCAGCCAGTGACGACATAGAGTGGACCACTGTCACTCGTAAACGTCCTGGTAGGAGGGACATTATTGCTCCCACGGTTTCAGCTACGTCCTTCGAGAGTACCTCGAAGAAGGCTGTACACCCCCTTCCACGAGGTGCTGTACTAGCAGCCAAAGAGATGTCTGTCCGCTCCTCGAAACCTCCAGAGCTGAAGCCTGCCGCCTCCAATGTCAACTTTTTACGTCAAGATCCGCGGTTCCTTCACTTCACTGATGATAACTTGGCTCTTGTCAGGGAGTTTTTTCTTAGCACTCGACAGCCTGAACATAAGAAACGTGATTGGTTCCTCGACCCCAGATTTAAAGGCCTGAACGGAAGCGTCTTCCAACTTGCCTACTCAGCCGTTTCAAGGAACTTTTCGTCCAATACATAATGTATATATTAGAATGTTATAAGTATTGATTAAGAATGGTTTGAGTGTGTGAGTTTAATTTTTGGAGTGAGTGTGTAATTTTTAGGTGAGGTGGGGTTCGATTCCCCAGCGAAGTTGGGGTGTCTGAGGGACTGGTGTCCCTCGTTTGTTGAGGTCCCAACCCTAAGGCCTTGCACTGTAGCCATGGGTTGGAGTAGACATGATGGTCGGCAGGCATTGCACCGCCCTCACGGGAGCCTGACCGTCCGCTTCAAACATAAAAAAAATCATCAGACTCGTCTTTACCACTTTCTTCATGAGAATCTTCATCTTCAGAGTCACTTCCAAAAACAGCGAGTATTTTGTCATCACTATCATCAGTCTTCAATGTCTTCTTCATCATCTTCACCATATCCTTTCTCTGTTTCATCTTGGTGGTCATTCTGAAAAACACTCTTATACTGTGAATGCATGTTGGAGCCGTTAGTTGAAAAGTTGATATGTGCTATTATCCGAGTAATTTTGTCATTCTTCAGACCATTTAATGATAGTTTATGAAAGGTTAAATATTTTTCAAGTTCTTTAACAGTTAGTTTCTTTGAAGTGTCGCGAGATAAGGATAACTCTATCCAGTCATAATCTTCGTATGATTTGTTCTTTACTTTGGCTTTATCCCGTTTTCTTTGATTTGTTCGGATATCTTTGGCCCTTTGAAGACACAAAAGATGGTTTATGTAAGATCTTATATGATCTTCTTCAACAATATATTTCTCGGAAAATTTTTTGATGCTATTTGGGTCTTCTAGACAAACTGTGCCAGCAGAAAACTCTATCCTCAGTTGGGCTCTTGGAAGGAAGTCCTCCATAGTACGAAAAATTTTGTTTACCTCATCTCTATAAAGGGGTGTTTCAAAGATATCTTTATATTTGAACTTTGGCAGTTTAGTAGTATCTGGATATGGAGCAGGAATCCCCTTGAACTTCTCAGTGCTTGTCCAAAGATTATTTTGACAAAATTGGCACTGTTGCTCTGTCCTGGTGAAATAGCAATCCTTTACGTACTCCATGAACAGTTCTCCTCTAGTATAATGACTATTATAAAAGTCACACACTTTCTGAAAGTAGGCAACACCAAGAGTGTCGGCGTTTCTGTTCTGTACTTACTCTTTATTGAAAAAGAACCGATGGCCTTCTTGGGGAGATTTCCGAGCTTCTATAAATTCTCCAAGTGCCGGAGCGCCCTAAATATTTAGGAAAAGTTTTCTATTAATTATAGATGTTGTTTTATTGAATATTGATGATTTAACAAAGATTCTAACTTATTCCACAAAATCTAGAGTAGTGCAACATTAATATGCCTAAAAATTTTTATTTCAATAGGCTTTTAATAATAGAAGTGTTTTAAATGTAGCTAAATTTGACAAATCTCATAGATTTAATTACTGCAGACCAAGAGATCGTTTTCACGTGACGTCACATCATTTCCGGTCACCATATTTGTGTATAACCCAGGGTAATACATGCAGGGTAATATATGCAAATAATAAGCACATCAACAATTTCTGCCCGTAAAAATGACTACAGCAACGGAAGCAAAATTAAGTGCCAATACTGATATCATTATCCATCCTCCTCTTTCTGAGTGCGCCAAGAAGCTAGAACCACGGGTAAGGCAGCGTTATTTGGAAAAAATTTCGGCGATTGGGATCTATCTCGTCCATATTTAGAGTAAGAATTTTCAACCAGACTGCTTGCCTCCAGTTGAATCTACAGATCTCCTTTTCTATCTGGTTTTGGAGATGAGCTTCTACACGCAACAACAGTTTAAGGCTTTCCGAAGCCTGGAAGCCAACAATCAGATGGTTTCGGGATTCATAACCTGCGTAAAAGGTCACATAATCGCAAACATATTTGTTGTGTTAGCTAAGGTAAGACTAGTCTCCCCGCAGCCGTGATGTTTCGGTCACGCAACGCTGCCTCACTAAGGTAAGACATTCGCAACGAATGATTGACTCTTTGATCCCTATCTGGATAGTAGCAGAAAAGGAGGGGACAATTTTATCCGCTCATTGCCTAGGTTATAAGGCCGGGCTAGCTGAATCATGCTCGCATATTGCAAGCGTTTTATTTTACATAGAAGCGTGGACGAAGATAAATGGAAAACTTGCTTGCACGCAAACTCTTCCGATTGCGTGCCGACGTAAACAAACATTCTTGAGTCAGTTTGTGTGCCTTTCTCTGTGAGCTTATCTAGACTTTCTGCTTCGCGACCTTCGAAGTTTAAATCTAAACTTTGCTGCCCCCATTCGCTAAATTTGAAAAACTTCTCCTCCCTCTCAGGCTCACTATGCTCACAGGCTCTCACTATGCTCTCAGACTCTAGTACTTTCACCCTTTTGGCAAACGCCGGCTTCTTCACCAATTCGCGTTCCCTCGCCCTCTTACTTCTTTTTGCTGCTTGTTATCGATCCATACGGCCAGTCTCCTTATTATGCCCTAAATCTAGAGTTGGGACCCAATCAATGTTAAATTTATCCCATGATTTTGCGGCCTTCCAGAAACAAAGTGTTTCTCGCACACGCGATCGTTTTCCAAAATGGTATCGGTGAGATCGTCTCTGCTAATAGCAGAAATCCAGCGTGATCTTCTTTCAGCTGACAATTCTCCGGCTTCATTTCCTTGATTTTCAATTATCGAAGGTACTTTGGCAAAATATAATCCTTTATTCCTTCCACTTCTATTTCCACAGCCGACAATCAAGCACAAAACCATCTTCTTTCAAAGGACGCAGTAGATTTGCATGCGATATCTGTACACATATATGGCGGCGTAGCAACAGTTGTCAGGGTTTTGGTCACTTGAGTGAAAGCGATCTATAGGCCGTTTACAGAACTTTGAAATAAACATATTACCATCATGTGCAGCAAAAGTCCCATTGTGTCAGTATAGGTCATGTTATGAAAGACATTTTAGTATGCCCTGCTATTTCTTCTAGCTTCTTTTATAACAAAAATTTGGTATCCCCCACTTTATTGTAAAACAAATTTGAAATCGCCCCTTTTTCTTGTATATATATTTTTCCAACCCCCCCTCAACTTCACCTGCCCCCCTCTCTGCCATACATTATGAACACAGCCTTAGGGTATGTCACTGCTCACTCCAATCAGATTGTTGCATTATGGTATGTCACGGCTCACTCCAATCAGATTGTTGCATTAGGGTATGTCACGGCTCACTCCAATGAGATTGTTGCATTAGGGTATGTCACGGCTCACTCCAATCAGATTGTTGCATTAGGGTATGTCATGGCTCACTCCAATCAGATTGTTACATTAGGGTATATCACGGCTCACTCCAATCAGATTCCCACTTGAGGGTATGTATCTCGCACTGATTAAATCGCCGCATTTGGTAACCCAGGCTCACTGTTTGTGTCACGTGTACATGGTTAAATAGAGAGAACATATGGGGCGAAGTTTAGGTCTGGAAATTTACTTGAAAATGGAAATAAAAATTGATGAAACTTACCATGTGGCAATTTGTTGTTGTCCTTAATATGTACACGAAGTTTCGGGAAAAATACTTTTCTTCATCTTTCCTTCATAGTAGAGAGACAAGGTGGGAGGCTGACGGAAAGGTGAAGAAAAGTATTTTTCCCAAAACTTCATGTACATATTAAGGACAACAACAAATTGCCACGTGGTAAGTTTCATTGATTTTTATTTCCATTTTCAAGTAAATTTCCAGACCTAAACTTCACCCCATATGTTCTTTCTATTTAACCATGCATACGTGACACAAACAGTGAGCCTGGGTTACCTATGATGTATCTTGCATCAATAAGATTGTCACATAAGGGTATGTATCTTGCAGCAATCAAATCATAGCATTGGGGCACGTTTGCACCAATCAGAGCTCCAGATAATGTTCCTCATGTCAATCATATCATGTAATTTGGATTTTGCGAAGTAATATAAATATTGGATTCAACCAAAAATTGATGCACATTAAGAACGACATCAACAAATAATTGTGAGCAGGTCTATTGTGCGAACTAATATATTTCCTATGTCAACTTTGAGCATTAACTTTCACATGCTTACATAGTAGTTCTTTAGAAAAAAAAAAACTCAAAAAGGAGGAAAAAAAGAAGGGATCTTCAGTCACGTAAGCCTCAGTTCCCAGATGTGCTCTTTAAGCGACAGCAGCCCCAGTAAGTAAGTAACTTTATTTACCACATATCGCATATGAGCGATAGCTCATTTAAATGCAAATGTGACAAGTATCAGGGGTCTTTTTGGGAGATCCGGAATTCAGATTTGGGGATTAAGAGAGGCATGATTCTAGATATTGTTGTGAATAGAGCATGAGAATTTTTCAATTTAACCAAGCATACATTGGGAGATGTTGGTAATTAGAAACCAAAACCTAGGAAGCTCAATGATAAAACCTACAAGAGCATTCTAAGTAACTTTACTCTGACTAAGAATGTATGAAGATCTCATATGCGCATGGCAGTTTCTTTTTTTAAGAAATTAAAAAATTCAGGTCCAAATGTACAGGCCTAAATTTATTTTCAGGCCTTCTTTTTACTACTGCTTTTAAAGTAATGTTCATCCCTGCAAGGATCACTTTCATAATACATTTCTTAACTCAAATTTCTACAGGAACATCTTTGAAGATAAATAGAAACATTGGTTAATTGTTGATGTATCCCTGGAATGTATACCATTAGCTGCCATTCATAAGTGCTGAGCACACACAACTTTGTAATGGTATTGAGGTCTTCTAAATAAACTGAGATAAATTCAGGCTTCTTCCACGAAGATCATCTTTGATAATTCCAAAGAAATCAAAAGAAGTAACAAACTTATTGCTCTGCAATAATTTTTCAAGTTTTCTGTTTGAAGTAGCACAGAGTTCCTACCTCTAACAAAACGAGAATCTTCCTCTTCAAAGCCAGCCAACATCTCAACTACGACAGCAACAGACTATGACCAAGTGTCAGTCAACCATAAGTCAACCAAATATCATTTAAGTAATTTTAACAGGTGAAATAAATGAATATTGACAAAAGGACAAATGAACAGGGGATAAAAACACCATACAAGCAATTACAAGAAAAAAACAATAGAACATTAACTTGTAAACATTCTTCTTTATGTCACTTTGAACTTTTCATCCTTTGTCAGAGTCAGTTTGTACTTTTTTCTGTTTTTCATCAAGTTTAGAATTGAATGTCAGTCTTGAAAAAGAAATAAATTCCTCAAACTTGCAATGCCTCTTCCTTGCAGTGATGTTATTATCAGATTTCCCTAAAATCCTAAGGTTGAGGACCTGTGACCTGAAAACTACCTACAATACCTTTAAAGGTTATTGTGTGCACTTTGATGCTTTTTTCTGACAACCTTTCTGGAAACAGCTTTATGTTAATTAAAGTAATTATCTATTTTAATCCCCCCTTGGATGAAACTATCCATTCTAAACCTTATTAATAAACATAACAAATTACATTATGGAAAGTGTGAAAAATTAATCTATCAAAATCACAGTGATAACTCTAAATGATTATTTGTTCCGAGAACTTCCCCAAATGGAATTAAATGCCACAAAGTTGAATCCTGGTGGCTGCCTTGTTGCCATTGAGGAACTCCCTCATCTTGTTGAACATCAGTCTTAGCCCAAGTTTTGCTTCTCCGTGCCATCCACTCTTCCAGATTTGAATCTTGAAATTCTTCTAAATGACTACTACAACAACATTCTAGAGTGTGTTGCTGAAGAAAAATTTCAACAAGATGCTGTACTTTGTCTTTCAAGGTAGAATCAATTGAGTGCATTTTCTCTAAAATTATGGAAATAACTGTCAAAGAAGACTGTGTTGGATTTTCCAGGGCAATTTTTAAAATGTTCATCAAGGGAACCTCACCAGGCATTTCTTTCAACAGCAACTGTAGGAAATGTTTCAACCATTCAGTGTAATAAAGAGATGGATCCTCATCTTTATCCATGATGATGGACTGATCTCCCACAAGGAGGTAATGTATCGCAGATATTAAAAATTCTGGAGACAATTTAACAAGTACTTCTATCAATGGTTTCCAGTTCTTAAATATCTCTCCTATAACTTCAGAGGTACCTACAACTAGAAAGTGGCCATCTTTGGTTGATTTCTTGATACTTGATGCATTCAAGTGCACATAAGATGGGACTAACACGCCTTTCTGGAACAAAAGACTTGGCAAAAGAGACCTGAAAAAAAAAATCATTTTACCTGAAATGACGAGGCAAATGAATCAATAAATCAAATCTTTTGTACTACTGGAACCTGAAAAAGCTGAATGTAAATACAAATGCAACTGAAGTATCAGAGAAAGCAAGTATAAGTTTAGCATAGCTGTCAAGGAAAGATTTTTCCTTGTCTCTTCCCGGAGAGAAAAAAGGAAAGTCTGCCAGTTACCTTATCCCTGTCTCACGAATAATCCAGGTGGCATTACAGTTGCTGTTCTACCTATTTTGTTACTTGAATTACTATTAACTGAAATATACTGTACATTACATTATAAGTTCAATTTGTATTTGGAACTCATTTATTCCTAGTTCTAAGTAATTGTAACGCAATTCAGTCTATGGACTGCCATGTTTGATATTCTAATAAACTATCTATTTATCTATCATTACAGCTTTATTCCTGAAGAAGAACTTAATGAGAACAATGACAATCCACCACAGGAGCAACTTGAGTAGCATTATACGGGTGATGCCAATTTTAGAAATCTCCATCTTATACCTCATTTACACCAGCAAAATGTGTTTACTTGAACTGGCTTAAACTGAATAAAAATCACAAACCATGAACAGAAAACTAATTTATCATACAATTCAAGAGGTCAGTAACTTGTATTTTCAATGTACTAAATTTGAAATGAAAGAACTTCAGTTAAAGCAGCTGCTTCTATGAACAAAACATATTTAAACTGCATTGGACACAACAGGTTTAAAACATGTTTAACCTTTGGTGTGAAAGGGGTATTAGAGGATAATTCTTTACTTGTTATAGACGAACAACATATGGCGAGGCTTTGGAAAAATGGGAAAAAAGGTGTAGGTAAACAATTATTTCTCCCTACAATAACAATAAGTGCAATAACTTCACAGTTTTGAAACAAGTTATTGCACTTCCTTCAATAAGCCCCCTGAGCCTAATTAACATTTCATTTAAAGGGAAGGGCACTTATTGAAAGGAGGGGGCTTAGTCTAGAGAGGCACTTATTAAAGGGAAAGTACAGACTAGAAAAAGTTTGTCTCAATTGAAGAATTTTTCCTTAGGAGTTCCAAAACTGCCATTTTGTCCAGTTTGATCTGTATTGGCGACAAGAGCGCTTTGAAGTTGCCCATTTTTACAACTTTTGTGGTTAGAAAAAAACCATCTTGGATATTATGTTAGTTGTGACATACCAATAGTCAAACTATCCTTGTTGAATTGTTTGACCTTTGTGAAAACAATTTCTAATACTCTTAATAATTGAAATGAGGTGAATTGTCAGGTGGATGAATGTCAAAATACCAAAATTCAAAAGGAAAATGTGTAAGCCTAAAAAACTACCGGAAAGTGAAATATTAAAGAAAAGCAAGCCTGCAAAAATAACCTGTGAGGACAGCTTGCCAAACCCTGCAAAACAAAGACTTCCAGCAAGATATACAGGCATGTAAGTTTTCATTGTTGACCTTCACTTCGAACTGAAAGCTGTGCTTATCTTTTCCATATTCAACACAAATTTCAGTTATTATATGAATTTTTTCAAACCACTTTTCCAATCAATTTTGTCGGTGTTTATGCATACGAAGAATGATCTTCAAGTCTATCATTTCTAACTTGTTTCATGCCAACTGGGGCTGTTCTTAGTTCCAAATGGCTTGTGTTCAGTTCTGCACCAAAGCTGGGTTCCTGTAACTGCAAAAATAATTCATCTCAATCTAAGGTATCAATGCGAAATGAATCCGTCACGGGCACTGCGGTCTTCTTTAGCAAAATAACTATCACTCCACAGCTTGGATTTGTTTGAGGAAAAAGCCTTTGCCTTTCAAATTGAGTCGGTGTCCTAGTACATTTAATTCTTAGGAACATACATTCTCGTTTTCCGTAGGTTTCTTTCAACAGTTGCTGCAAGAGAACCACTTGCGATTTCCAAGACATGAGCAACTGAGCGGGTCAACATTTCTTCTTGAAACTCATTTTCCTGACTTTCTCTCCCTATCTCCTCAACAGAGGTATCTCCTTCCCCGAAGATGAGCCATGTTTCATTTGAAACATAAATGGATGTATTACACCCTCTCTGCTAGATTAAAATCCAAGTAGAGAATTTAATAAGTAGTGCTCTCCTTACCACTGTTTTCCTTGTTCACATCCACCTCAACAGGGATATAAATTAGCATGCTTGACTATTGCTATGTCGTAGTTTCGTCGTAACAAAGATGGCAGATTTCAATTTGAAAATACTGATTTTTGGTTCATAATTGTTCGCAATCAAAATGCTTTTAGCTCGATTGAATAGCCAGTTAGGACAGTGCAAGCAAGGAACTTTTGATCTAAGTAAACTTTTTCTAGACCATACTTGTGACCTCTCAAGCGAAAACGTTCCTAACGGTAGCCGTTCAAACAGTGAATGGAACGGCAAGCAAACGGGTGACGAACGGCTAGGAAAGCCGTTCGAAACAGATACTGTGAACAGATGAATGGCTAATTAAAATTTTCGAACAGATGAGGTCAAACGGATGAACGGCTAGAGAAAATTTTCGAACAGATGAGGTCGAATGGATGAACGGCTAATTAAAATTTTTGAATGGATTAGGTTGAATGGATGAACAGCTAATGAAAATTAGCAAAGGGATGAATGGCTAATTTTTTGAACACTGAGATGAGCCTCACAGATGAGATTGAATGGATAAACAGCTAAGCGGTCGAACAAGTGATCGCCTGTAGAAATTATTCGAACAGATGGTTTCGTCAAAACGAATGCCGACACAGGCGTCCCAATCTCTCGTCTTGAGCCAAAGCGAAGGATTATTTCATGAAAGCGTCACGCGTTGGGTGACGCGGTGTTAAGTAATGTGAGGTATTTGACACAATCTGTGAAAAGATCACTTGAAACGAGTCGAAACTCAATCGTTTGAATAACTCGACTTCACTTTCGGTGCATTCAAATTGATTATAATTAATATTTTTATTATTGAATTCAACCGATTAAGATAAGGTACAACCAAGGAACTTGCACACGAAAAGCATACAATTCGATAGTTCTCAACTTCAATTCTGGTTTAAATTTCTGCTAACAACTTGTGTCAATTACTGCCATTTCACACAATCACAAAATGAAGAATTCAATGAGAGAAGATATGGATTGAATCGAATTAATTTGATGGCCTGCTCCCAGTTGGCTTGTTAGCTCAATTGGTAGAGCGCTGCACTAGTATCGCAGAGGTCAGTGGTTCGAATCCCGTACAGGCCTGAAATTTTTTTCAGGTCTGATTTTCACTATTGCTCAAATAGTGCTTTACTGCGAAGGATCGTTCTCATATACGTCTCATAACCGCAGTTCACACATATGTTTCATATGTTTGTTGTTGTTTGATTTATCATCTACGGGTTTATATCGAATTAATTTGATGGCCTGCTCCCAGTTGGCTTGTTAGCTCAATTGGTAGAGCGCTGCACTAGTATCGCAGAGGTCAGTGGTTCGAGTCCCGTACAGGCCTGAAATTTTTTTCAGGTCTGATTTTCACTATTGCTCAAATAGTGCTTTACTGCGAAGGATCGTTCTCATATACGTCTCATAACCGCAGTTCACACATATGTTTCATATGTTTGTTGTTGTTTGATTTATCATCCACGGGTTTATATCGAATTAATTTGATGGCCTGCTCCCAGTTGGCTTGTTAGCTCAATTGGTAGAGCGCTGCACTAGTATCGCAGAGGTCAGTGGTTCGAGTCCCGTACAGGCCTGAAATTTTTTTCAGGTCTGATTTTCACTATTGCTCAAATAGTGCTTTACTGCGAAGGATCGTTCTCATATACGTCTCATAACCGCAGTTCACACATATGTTTCATATGTTTGTTGTTGTTTGATTTATCATCTACGGGTTTATATCGAATTAATTTGATGGCCTGCTCCCAGTTGGCTTGTTAGCTCAATTGGTAGAGCGCTGCACTAGTATCGCAGAGGTCAGTGGTTCGAGTCCCGTACAGGCCTGAAATTTTTTTCAGGTCTGATTTTCACTATTGCTCAAATAGTGCTTTACTGCGAAGGATCGTTCTCATATACGTCTCATAACCGCAGTTCACACATATGTTTCATATGTTTGTTGTTGTTTGATTTATCATCTACGGGTTTATATCGAATTAATTTGATGGCCTGCTCCCAGTTGGCTTGTTAGCTCAATTGGTAGAGCGCTGCACTAGTATCGCAGAGGTCAGTGGTTCGAGTCCCGTACAGGCCTGAAATTTTTTTCAGGTCTGATTTTCACTATTGCTCAAATAGTGCTTTACTGCGAAGGATCGTTCTCATATACGTCTCATAACCGCAGTTCACACATATGTTTCATATGTTTGTTGTTGTTTGATTTATCATCTACGGGTTTATATCGAATTAATTTGATGGCCTGCTCCCAGTTGGCTTGTTAGCTCAATTGGTAGAGCGCTGCACTAGTATCGCAGAGGTCAGTGGTTCGAGTCCCGTACAGGCCTGAAATTTTTTTCAGGTCTGATTTTCACTATTGCTCAAATAGTGCTTTACTGCGAAGGATCGTTCTCATATACATAAAATAATGTTTAAAAGACCACAAACAAAAACTAGCCATTCAGCCACCTCTTTTTATCGAATTACGCTTCTTACCAAAGATTGCTCCTAGATACCAACTCAGCTATAGGGTTTGACAGTTCTGTCAGTCTGTTTTTAGTCTTGTCCTTACACTTCTTTTTACTCTTGACAGTGGGTCTTAAGGCTAGTTTCCCATATTTTTCGAGTAACTCCGTTAGTTTTTTTACGTTTCTATTGTGAATTTCGAGCTGTGCTTCCCAGTATTCACTTTGCAACCATGACAAACTTGCTCTTACGCCACAACGGAGAGTTTCTAAGGAAGGCAAATTTTGATGTGCCGATTCGTGTCGTATATCAACAAGCCACTTAGGTAGACCTATTTCTTCTCCAATTGTTTGCACTGAGCGAGCAAACTTTCCTTTCTGATCCTGATCAACCATTCCATTTACGAAGCGCACTATCGCCATCGCAAGAGTCAACCGACCTTGGTCCAAATGAGCCGAAATGAGATTTGCCGTGCTTTCGACAGCAAGGGGAAGTTTACCCATACTGCGGCTTTTCCAGACGGCCACACGATCTATTCCGCTTTTCTGACCTTCTGGATCACCGAAATTGTATAAAGTTCTGTAAACGTGGAGCCATTCGTCACGGTTTTGCCAACAGACAACACGTGCAGTGGAAGCCATCTTCCGGAACTCAGATAAGGTTGGGAGACTGGGCCCACCAAAATCGAAAAGCATTCTGGTTGTTTAGCCCTCCACGGTCTCACATGCTCGCCATCTTTTGTTCCTCTTTTCTTCGCAGGTGGAGAACTCCTTCTCACAGCATTTTCCTTAAATAGAACTATTATGGGAGATAGTGACGAAGAACACGACAGGAGACGAGCTCGAGACAAATTTCGTAGAGAAAGAAGTGACTATAATGATCGAAGACGCGACCGTGAAGAAAGATCTTCACGTCGAGATGAGTGGTCCGACAGACGCCGTGAGCCATCGTGGGAAAATAGACGGCGTGGAGAGTATAGAGAATTTGATCGAGGAAGAAGAGATAGCTCTGGGAGACACCACGAAATGAGTCCTCCCATGAAAAGAGTTAGAAGAGATTGGTAATTTAATAAAAACATGTCTTTGATCCTTGAAACTACCAATATTACTTAGTAAAAGACCATGTCGGTATTGTCTTTGTCGCTATCTTAAGAGCAGGACAGCTTTGGAATCGCAATATTTTCGGAGAGCATCAACTTTAAATGATTTTATTGAAGCGTTGAAGCTTCTGAATCTAGTTGAACATAAAATTCAAGTGTCAGCCAAAGGATCTTAGCGGCAAAATGTCTACTAAGGTGATCTCAGTGGACTTATATACAATTAGTTTACCAGATAGTTGTCTGCAATTTTTTTTTTGAGGCAACTACATGCATGATACGAGAAATGCTAAAGAGGATTGAAATGAACATGGTTGCTACAGATCAGGTGGTAAAATTTTTTTCAAGGTCAGGGAATTTCACTTTAAGTTAGGGAAAAAGTAGTCTTGTTTCCGCCCTCTGAAAGATGTGAACAGTTTCCTTTTGGTGATGTCAATGTTATTTATGTACATTATATGGCACATTTGATAGATTCCTTACCAGCACATCCTTTCCTATTGTAATGCAAGTTCAAGTTGGTTTGTGAATGACAACCTACATTTTCTTTTCTTTAGTTTAATTTTTTTCTCTAACATTTTGCTGTTTTGGTACATTTCAAAGACATGAATGGTGTTCAGTTGGTGAAACACTATGAAAGAAAACTCAACAAATGATAGTGGGTTTTAAGGAAAATCAATTATTTTTCTCAAGTTACCCTAGGGAATTATCAATTCAGGTACAGTGTGTTTGACTTGCTGAAAGGATAAATTCATGAGTGTAGAGGATGGCTCTGAGGGGAGGGTTGGGGCCATTATCAGAATTGGTTTGTGAAATTCTTTATTTGGTGACTAAGGGCCTGATTACATGAGCCGAGCTGGCCTGGTTAGCCGGGCTGATTTCTTTTGTTTTCACGCTTTGGCGAACACAAAAACAAAATAAATCAACCTGGCTAACAGGGCCAGCCCGGCTCATGTAATCAGGCCCTAAGAAACTTTATGTATGTAAGGGAAATACAAGGGAATTTGAAAAAACCTCTGACTGTGGCAACCATGTTGATGTTGGGAATGAACCTGGAGAATTTTAGGAAAGGCAAATTTGTCCTGTAGAATCATTAAACCATCAGTTACATTTTGTAGTTGGTGAAGTTATGTTGATCATTAAAGGCTTTAAAGTTGGACAGTGACATGAACACTACCCATCAAGATGGTATTAAAAACAATGATAAGGATATTTCAAATAACTAATGCTCAGTTCAAATACAACTTTGTCATTTGAAATATGCAATCCACAAGTTCAACTTTTAAGTATAGGGTGGACCATGGGGTTAAAACTACTTTGCTACATTTCTTGTTAAAACAAAGTCCTCCAATTAGTCTATCAAATAATGTGATCATGGAAGAAACCTTAAACCTTTTTAGGTGTAGATGAGCAGTTGTGGTACTAAGTTTCTCTCGAATTCAGTCTATAATATAAATGGTCCTCTTTTTAAACTGTTAAGTTATGAAAGTTATGTACAAGTGTTAAAGTATCTGTATTCTGAAACAGAAGACAGATAGCATTTTTAATTATTTTAAAAATGCTTATAAATGACAGTGCTTTTAAATTCATTTTTCCTGCTTTCAGGGATGAGCCATATCATGGGGCAGGAGACTACAATGTACCTTACAGTGGTGTTCCAGCCCATAACACATGGTCACACCCAGATGTTCAACAGCTACAAGCATCACAGCAGCAGGATGCCAGACAACAAAGGTGAAAACTAACATCATTGAAGACACGATGTCCTATTTATGTCTTTCTAGCTTGAGGGCCTCTGTCAGACCTTCCTTTCATAGTTTTCTTGAAAACCTGAATTGAGAGAGACAGGTGTGTTTTCAATATGAAGATCAAGCATATATTATTCCTTCCACAGGCTGAAGCATAACATTCAAAACTAAGCATAACGTTCAAAACTAAGGTTTCAAGTCAAATTGTTCAGAATGACAGTCACCATTTCTCAATCTTTTCCATTAAAATTCATGAAGAGACTTCATCCTTACTGGGTTTTCATTAGAAGCTGGTAAGCAATTTTTCATAAAACTTTTATTGCCCAACAAAAACAAATAATTCTTGCAAGATCAGGAAGGGTTGTGTCAAAAAATTTACTTAGCCAACAACTTGCTTTGACTGACTGAGGCTTTATCAGCATCAGGCTGTTGTTCAAGTGAAAATTGACGAGCATCTCTTGCTTCAAAGAGGTTACTGAGGCTCTCAATTATTGATGATGTGATTGTTTTGAAATGGCGTCTTAGGGCTGAAGTTGAACAACAGCCACACCCTCAGGCAAGTCCTGGCCCAGCCATGATGACATTTAAACAGTTCCTAAATGCGCAAGATGACAATATTGGTGACGAAGAAGCTTTTAGAAAGTATCAAGAATATAAACTGGAATTCAGAAAAACTCAAATTAGTGATTTCTTCCAGCAACACAAAGAGGAAGAGTGGTACGTTATAACAATGAAATCCCTGAGTGTGAGTAGTATACACCTTCCATTAGTAACAGTTGTGTATTTGATGGTACAAATATTTGAATGTTGTTGTCGTGATGTATATATGAATGTTTCTGTATGTTTTTTGCCTTTTATTCAATGTATCAAATTTTTTTAATATTTGTTTTCATTATCTCTAACCATAACAACCCTTTCCTTTCACAGCAAGCTGTTTTCTTGTTCAGTGAGACATGCATGTGAAACAAAGCCATATTGGGATCTTAGTGCTTCATGTCCAAATCAACTTCGGTCTTTATTGCATGAGGCTAAAAGCCTAGACAAGCTGCACACTGCAGTAAATGAATTGAGATTCATAGTAGCTTTCAGTGATCAAGAAGCCATGTTTAAATCCCCTTCGATTACTTGACGAGGTTCAATTATGTATAATCTGACCTCACTCGTTAATGTTAAGTTGCTATAAAGAATAGCAATGTCGGCTTATTGGAAGTCAAAATGTCACTGACTTTGGATTCAAGGGAGGACAGGAAAGGCTGAGTAAGTGTAAGGGGGTACACACACCTTTTGTATTTTACCCAAATTTTTTCAATATTTTTATCCTCCTTAATATACCTTCTGTCTTACTACTAATTTAAGGTTTAGGATGAAGTACCATCCCAAAGAAATGGCCCTAAAACAAAAGGAGTATAAAAAATCAATGCAACGTCGCCTCTCTGTATTTCTGAACCTACTTAAAACTGGAAGGGCTGATGATATATCACTGGACATTGATAACTCAGAGGCCATCATTAAACTTCTTGATTCAGGTAAGACCTACATCATGTCTTAGAAAAGTGCTGCTGACAGTAGTTCAATTAATATGAACAAATGTCACATATTTAATCTTGGGATGGCACAACAAACCCCTCAAAATGTTGCTAACCACATTACACATTTCAGAGAGGTGTGGCCCAGCAGTATAAATTTGCACAAAATGTAATATTTTTTTTCTCTCTCTTTTTTTTTTATGGCTACTAAAGTGACATGATTTTTGGGTTGCTTTATCATATATGTGAAAAAATGGAGCTTCAAACCTATTGGGGAAAAATTTATTAACCTTGTACTTGAAGTAGGACCCAGACTGCAAACAGTCTCTCCTTTTCTGCAAAGTCCTTAGGGCAAGTCAAACAATCAGGGGAAAAAAGTTGATGTTAGCATGCCACAGGAAGCTCTTGGAGTGATGCCGATGCACTTTAGGAGCTCCTTGAGTGAGACACTCAAAAAGTAGGGACTATGGACTAAGCCCAATATTTTGACCTTGCACAGCTGAGTGCTTTACAGGCATTAAATTTTAAACTCAATTAGGTGTAACTAATGAGATTTGTTATCTTAATTACCAGTCAATCTCCATGTCATAGCAACACACTGGTGATCTCAGAAAATAAAACCATTTCAAATTTCGCAGCACACAATAAACTGGAAATCTATAAAATTTTTCAGTAAGGATGACTCTCATGAACAAAACTCCTCCTAAGATGATTAGGAAGGGTAGGCCAGTCAAGGAACCATCGCAGAACGACTTTAGCTGTGCGTGTGCTTTTAATTTGTCTTCAGAGCTTTCATGCAGTCTTTGTCCTTTTCTGATAACTGAACTGCTGGAAGGCTAAGTTCATTCCACCACAATGCAGTTAAGCAGTGAAATTACAAGAACACATACCTTGGAGATTTTTGCAAAACAATTCCCTGGCCTATAATGCTTTTTCCAGAATTTTGCCAACCAACTTCTGAGAACTTCTTTGTCAGCAACAAGAGCTTCTAGCACTACAGTCTGCTCTGATTTCAGCAAATGAACTGTTGGAAACTGCAGTAAACATCCTGCAGGTCGTCAGCCATCTGAAGCATTGACAAGCATTGATAAGCATTGACAAGCATTGATAAGCATTGACAAGCATTGATAAGCATTGACATACAGTTAAAGAATTTGTTTTATACCCACAGCTTCTGTTTCTTTAAGGATGTTTGTGATTGGCTGATATGTACCATAATCATGTGATCCTCTATACATCAAAATGTATCCTTAGTAGGATTCATCTATTGAGTGCAATCAATGTGCAGGTTTTGGTGCGATCAGAGTGTGTTTCAAGCTCTCTTCTCTGAGTACCTCCACATCTCTCCAGACAAATTGTTGTTTTCTCGCTGGCTCTCCACTAGTTCTTGAAAACATATAGGAGCAGCCTTTGACTAAAGAATAGGGTTCTTCGTTTTTATCAAAAAAAAAAAAATCGAAATACAGAATCCAATAATATGGTTATTTGAAGGTACATCAATTAGCAAAATTTACAAGAAGTAAATATGTGCAGTTGTGAAGGCTGATTTTTTGGTTGGTTATTATGTTTGTCCTCAGGATATATAAGAAAGCACTTAATGTTTGTTCCCTCAGGAAACAGTTAGTCTCAGTGTACCCCCAAATGAAAAACAAAGCTAACTGTGTCTCTCAGGAGAAAACATGGAGTGGTTAATAATTTTTGCAGTTTTTGAAGATTCCTTTTATTTCCAAAAAAGACTTGACCCAGTATGTTACAATCTTTGGAGCTAATTATAAATTAATTTCTTTTTCCTTACTTAACCCATTAACGTCCAGTGCGCCCGTATGCGCCCATGGGGACCCACACCCTTTCTACGCCCTGTGACGTCATCAATTTTAACTCTGGAGCACGAATTCGAGCATGTACTTGAACGGGTTGAAAATATCTTGCAGACGATACCAGAATGAGCGCAATTGAGTGGAGGAGATTGGAGAAATAGCCAAAAAACCGTGTCACTTTGACTGGAAAATCTGCACGAAGATCGTGTTTCACTACCCACCTACCTTTCCGAGCATGTGCTTTGAAAATAATGAGTAGTTTCTGAAAAATCTCTACACCAAAATGAAGCCTACTCAATTTCCAGCAAGTGAGGAGAAACTTTAGGCAAGGAGAGGGGAAAAAAAGGGCAGGAGAAAGAGAGAAAAGTAGAAGTCGTAAGTGGGGCGTGACTTTTCAACCCAAAAACTATGTCGAAATTTTGCGCGTGCCCGAGATTTTCAGGCCGCCATTTTGCATTTGGATCGAAAGGCCATCGAGTGCACGAGCTGTCAAGTGGTTTTTGGTAAGTTAGAGCTTTTAAAACCCCAACAGTGACCCGAAATCTGCTGGACTAGCTTCAAAACACAGTTTTCCACAAAAGCTGCGGCCATTAATGGGTTAAAGCAATGCACTGATTGTTATAATGTTGTTGTTGTCTTGTTTTTTTGATATGGTTGTTGTTTAAAGTGGTTATCAAGTTAGAAGGAGGCTTGGACACTGATCTGGTTGTGTTGAACTGTCCGCCCACTCCTCCCCCTGAGAGGAGACGATCTTCATCAAATCCTCTTATGTCTCCACAAACTGATGATATGGCAACTGATGTTAAAAAGGAAGAAACCCTTCAAAATATCAAGGACATCAAAAAAGGTATTGCTGCAGTAGTAATTTAAACATATCAAGGGCATGGCAAATTCACCAGGAAATGTCCTGAGGCTCATTAGCTGACCATGAAACAAAATATGTCTTTTTGGCATGTTAATAATATGTGCGCATGACAGCACTTTCAGTTTGGTGATATAACCCTTTAACTCCTGTGAGTGACAAAGACGTAATTTCTTCTTACAATGTCAATATGATATTGAGCAGACAAGTGATGAGAATAAAGAAAAATATCAATTACCAAACGTGATAATACGAGAGACAAGGAGAGACAAGGATAAGAAAACTAAACCATTTACTTAGAAGAAACCTACATGTCAATGACCACACGAATATTTAAGTAGCTGGACTATAAGTCCCTAGAGGACGCACATGCTGTTATGAAACACCTTATTATAACACCAAATCCAATACCAAATTCGTCAGAGTAACATCATAGGAATTGTATGGCAGACAGGAAGGATAATTGCTAATAAGACCCTGGCAGTGAAAGACCTTCGCAACATTCAGTGGGCAGCAACCCAAATTGGTCATTGGGTCATTTGGTAAAACAGTTAACAATAACAGATTGTCAGCATTTACATGTTCACAACAGGAGTAAGCTTGTTAGATGTTAAGAGATTTATGGAAAGAAACAATGTAGTGGTATTTGAAGTAAAAATAATACTCACAGGTGTAAATGCTTAGAAATAAGGTATCATTCTGGAAACAAAACTATTTCTTTTTGAAAGAGCCTCTTGTAAGAAATGCTATCCTACAGTCAATATGAACTTCAATCATGGTTATTAGTTAGTAAGTGTTAGTAAGAAAGATTTGAGTAGAGCATTGGATTGTCCTTTAAAGTTGCAATAATTCAAGGTGTCTTCACAAATAGTTACTTTGGAATTTTCTTACATGTATTTAATTTATTAAAAATCTGTCAGAATCAATGTTATCAATGAATCATTTGGTGATACCAATCATCACTATATAGCCATAGACTGGACTGTAACAAAAATTCTGCAGTAGTCAAAAATGCTCTCTTTTTGTTATCAGATCCAGAAGCTGGTCCTGTTTCACCATCATCTGTTCCTCTTCCGTCTGCTCCTCCACCAGCATCAGTGAAAGCTGCTGCATCAAAAAAGGAGAATGGGGATATGAAGGTTATGTCCATTAGTAATCCTACTCTGGAGCAACAACAGCTTCAACATCAGGCTCAGCAGTACTACCATCAGCAACAGCTTTATTATCAGCAGCAGGTACACTGTACAGCTTAGTATCACTAAGGCATATTAAGGGATACATTTTGACCTGTCCAGGAGATTTTTTTTAGAGCTTGGGCACATAACATTGTTTATTGCATTGTTTTGATTTAAAATGATTGGAAAAATGGCAATGAATACCATGTCATAATTGATAACTGCTAGCAACTAGAGCCATTACAATGAAGGTATATGTTACATGAGTTCCTCATGAGCAAAAAATGGAAGATAATTCACTTTCAGCCACTGTCTTAATGGCAAAGACCTCCAGAAGAGTGTTGACATCTTCCTCAGGCTTTTGTCCAGGATCTTAATTCACACATGTTGTGTACATCATGTTTTGCCCTACAACAGGGAATTTCTGGTACATTTCATGAATCATTGAGTAATAAGAGTTTTAATCAAACGGCCAAATAATTAATGCTTACCCCCAAGCAAACTGAACCATAGGGAGTAGGCTATCCCACTGAAATAGTTACATATCTGGAATCTTTTAGTATTATAGCAATTATGATCCTCAACAACAGCAAGAACAATATTCAAAGCAATATCCACAGGAACAACAGCAAGAATTACCACAGACATCCCAACCAAATGAAGATCCACCTGCACAACAGCAAGGGGTTAAAAAGGTGAATTGAGGTTGATGTATTGTCTGTGAACATTGCACAACTTAACTAAGTCAAATCTTATGTAGCTGTTGCGAATCTGCAAACCATTGAAATGGAGGCAATTTCACGTGAGAACTCCTGCAGCTACCACTCTGGAAATACAAATGAGGTTTTTAACCTACATTGATTGTGTGCACCTAACCATCAAGTGAATACTGTGCTAAGTCTGTTGTTACATTAGTTTGTTTTACAAAATAGTAAAACTTCTACATTTCATAAAGTTGGTGGGCATCACCACAGATATTGATGAAATATTAAAAACTTTTACTCCATCGTAGGAGGTACAATTTTTAGTTCACTATGCTGACTATAAATTGATATTTCTTACTTCAAGATTGCATGTTTGCAAAATTTGACAGTGGCAAAGGGTATTGGTCAAAAGAATGAACTGAAGGCAAACAATGAAAATGTGTGGATTTTTTCAACAACAGCAATGTAAGAAAAGATTGTGTTGATGGTGATTGAACTTTCTGCCATAGGAAGAAGAGCCAAAAAAGAAACGGAAAAGACGTCATCGTGAACCTTACTATTATGATGCTATGGATGATGATGACAGTGAAAGTGAGTCTGAATCTGATTCTGAACCTGAGCCTGCTCCTCCTGGGGAAGAAATGTCACCAATGGATACTGGAAAAGAGGATGAATTGTTACCACCAGGGGTAGATGCTGGGTCTAAAGGTATAGAAGAAAACGTGCAGCAACCTGGTGAGTTGTCATAAGACAGAGAATCAAATCTGTCAAAAGGTTATGCTTAAGTTGAAACCAAATATGCACATACCACAATCAAAACTAGAATCTAGTATTTGGCATTTGTGTAGCCATACAACTAGAATTTTTTGTGCTGCATTTGCAGTTCAACATACATTTAGGCACTGTTTACACGGGTACGGTTTCATTTGTAACTGCATCAGTTTCAATGTGGTTATGCCTTTCGTTTACACAGCGCCAGTCGAGTTTGTTATCAGAACCGGCCGGGTCGTTCTGAAAACAATTTCAAAAGTGAGCATTTTCAAAACGAGACTGTTTCACAGGTGGTGTAAACAAAAGATGTAACCGCATCAAAACCAGTGTGGTTACAAATGAAACCGGCCAGACCAACACTCAAGGTCTTAAAATAATTGAGAAGAATATGCTACCTTTCTCTAACATCAAGAAATGGTTAGATATTCTAGTCTTCTCGGATAGGGACGAATAAATGGAGGTCCCATCTCCTACAGGGTTAGGGGTAAGAGACGTTAATTTCCCATGCATGAGATTACTGTGTGATGGATGTCCTCCCCTGGGGTGGGATGGGTGGGATTTATTGGGTGGACTACTGGCATGGTTCACATGTGTTCCGTTCTAGTCCTACCTTACTGCAGTAATGCAGTAAAAATGGTTGGGGAAAAAAAACAGTGTCCATGTAAACAGTGCCTTAGTTAAGGATGGGATTGCTGTTAATTGGTTGTCACTTGCATTCTTGTGGTAGATGACCAAAATAAAGCAAGCCAGGTGGAAAACATTGTCCAACTTCCTACAAGTTCATCAAATGCTAAACTGCAGACATCAACTGAAGATAAACCAGGTGAATTAATTTTGGATGAAATGTTTCAAACCTATCCAGAGTCACCAAACAAAGGAACATAATTTATGATGAACCCTATGTGGACTCTTCTTCTCCCATTCAATATTGTGAGCACATTTAAAATGTACATTGATGTTTGTGTTTAACAGTAGGTGAAAGACAAAGGTTTTCCTTATCAATTGGAGTTGGTTTGCAGTGACAGAGGTTATAAAGGCAGAGACAAATTGGCTGTGGTGACCATTTGTAGTGGAATTTCTTTGGGTTTAATGGGGTCTTGGATCATCTTTGTCATCAGCTTTTTTGTGCTAAGCAACTGGTGACTTGGCAGTTGCCATCACACACAAAAAAATTCCCTCAAGCTTCCTTGCACTTACTCACTATTTTTAACTTCAGCCTTCAGCAACACAAGTCAGTGAACAAATATCAAGCTTTTTAAGGAGAAAGCAGCTTTATTCACTTTTCTTTTGTGCGTGTGTGATTTGGCAATGTGCTTTACATTTATTCAATACAGCAAAAATCCTTGGGAGCAAGGATTCCTTGTTGATAAAAAATTGTTGGCTGCAGTGCTGTGTGCAGGCAGCAAATATTGCTGGTTGCTGGCCGAAAAGGATAACCCTGGGAGACACCATAGCTTAATTGTTTGTGTACTGGACTCTACATAGAGAAGCCTGGGTTCAAGACATGATAAAATGCCGAGGGGTGACTTGATAAAATGCTGAGGGGGTGACCTCGTTATGGACTAGCCTTCAGTCCAGGGGAGAGTAATGATAGGCCTAGTCACTCTATGTTAAGGAAACATGGATAAGTTAGGGCTGGACAGGTCACTTGGCTAAATTACAATCTTGTGTTTTGTGAGTTTAAAACACGTTGATCTTGTGGTGTTTGAGTTACTTTGATTTCTCCTTTTATTAAGATGCTTGCTATTGAAGATTATTTCTCAATGAGACAATACAATTTTTGTTTTGCATGAAATTGACTGTTCATGACTTTAAATGTCTTGTGTAGATTCATGTGAGCCACATGTGGGCTCCAGTCAGCCAGAAACAAGCACCAGTGGTAATGGTGCTGTAACAGAGGCCGGGTCATCCCATGCTGTAGTTGAAACCAGTGGAGAAACAGAATTGTCTGGTAATTCAAAATTTTTTCACAGGAAGGAAACCATTTGAATTTTCCTTAGCACATAAACAAGAATTAGCTGGAAAATTAAATAGTTGATAAGTACAAGCAACAGTTAAGATCCTTTATACTCCATAGCACCATTTTTCTTGCATGCAGATCAACACTAAGGTTTTTAATAGTAATTTAAAATTTATCACAGTGTCATATGACTGTTTAATGTAGAAATATTACAGAAATTGTAGTGTTTATTGTCATTTTGTTGTTTCAGCTGTGATCATGTCAATGCCATCTGCATGATTTCTCATAGCTTTGAAAAATGATCTTTCACAGATGGTACACCTGCAGATTCAACTCAAGGACTGCATGGAAAAGAAAGAAAAGAAGAGTTCCAGGTTGAAACAAGTAGCACAGAGCAAGCAGAGAGTAGCACATCTATTCCAGGAAAGGATGCATACCAAGTTGGTAGCACTGATAATGGTATCAGTACAATGGACAAACATGACAGCAGTGAAATTTTTCCTGAACCAAGCAGCAGTGAGGCTCAGGGTAAGGTAGTGTCCATGGAGGCAGAGCCGTCAAGTGTGTCTCCTTTGCCACATCAAGTGACCAAACCCGCCATAGAACAGGTGAATATTGATTGTATGTCAGTGCTGTAGTTCAAGAACTAAGATCAACTACTTTCTGTCCTATGCTCAAGGTCTAAAATTGATTTTTTTTCAGAGGGAGCCAACTGAAAATCAAACTAAGGTTTAGTCACCGAAACATTTAAGGGTAGTTAATTTTAGCTCCAGTTAAGTTTTGTAAACCAGCCACAAGGGGGGTCCATGCTGAATCAAATATGGCACCTGATAAACAAAGCAGACCCTGATTCATCTGAAGTGTGCTTAAATTGTGCACTCTGTTAACTTCACCTTTGAAATACTTTTTTTACAGAACATGCCCTGTTAGATACTGTAGGTAAAATACTAAAATATATGGACGAAAAAACTATTTTCTTGTAGCATTTTTAGTGAATTACAAAAAGCTTTTGACTCTGTTGATAACAATATTTTGCTCTGTAAATAACATCATTATGGAATAGGTAGTGTCATCAACATATGGTTCTGCTCATATCTAACAGAGAGATTCCAAACAATGAAAATTGAAACCAAGATCTTGAAAAAGGAAGATATATCATGTAGCTAATGTGGCACTCAAATAAGTGGAACCATAGGTATTTTTGCAAGACTAAGACACTTCTACCAACTTCTGTCTTACTCAGTATTTATAAGCCTTAATCATCCCCACCTTTCTTATGGCTTCTGAGGCCAAATCTCAAAAATAAATCTTGAAAAAATCTTGAAAAAATGTTAATCCCTCAGGTAAGAGCACTATGCTTAATTTGCTTCTCAGGCAATTCTGAACATGCAATTCCATTATTTCTGTGATCAATTATTCTTTCTATTGATATGCTCTATCATAAATCAGAAGGTGTTTTGTTGCATGATATTGACCATGATTTTGTACCTTTAAATCTGAAGAACCTATTCACTAGGGTAGCTTTGATCCATTCTTCCAACACTAGAGCTGCAGCTGCTGGTAAATTTCATGTAATTCATTCACAGACAAAACAGCAGAACCAATCCTTGTCAATGCGTGGAGCTAGAATCTGGAACAAAATCCTTGAGTCTTTAAAATAAAAACCAAAGCAATAACTCTAAAAACACCTTCAGACTGAATTGTTGCAGTTTTTAGTCCATGAGGGGGTTTATGCTAATGTATATAATCTTGCTGATAAATTATTCCTTAATTAGAAGCTTAATATTTTTATTATAAATTATATCTATTAGCCTCCTTTTCTATGTATTTATCTTAATTAATTCCTTCCTTTTGTATGTAATGATCTTGTCCTCTTTTGACTTGTATATGTTTTCCTATATTTATTACTTTATTTTTTATAAATCGTAACTTTGCACCACCTAGATTAGCTATGCTATTTGCGGTGTACAGTTACCTCTCGTTTATTAGTTAGCTCAAAATAAATAAGTGTGTAAATAAAGTGTACAAAAGACATCATTAGAGTCAGACTGGCATTTTTCTTTGTAACAATTGAAAGCAAACTGGATCAAATGAAACAACAGGGTTATTTATGTTAAAGTTGACAGCAGTCTATTTATTCAATAAAAAAAATTTCAGGTTCTGCAACAAGTTGAAGCCATTGAAGAAGAGGAAACTAAAGGAGACTACAACAAAATTTCAGAAAAGAAGGAAATCGTTGAAAATACAAGTCCCATTAAGGAAATTCCAAAAGAAAATAAAGAAAAAACAATAGAGGAAAAAGAAAATAAAGAAAAAACAATAGAGGAAAAAGAAAAAGATACAAGAGAAGAGGGGGAGGAAAGGGACAAAGCAATTGGTGAGGATGGAAAGCAACTCTGTGTGACTGCTGAACCTCGTGCATTGCACAAAACATTTTCACTGTTTATGAGAGGTATACCACCAAACATTTCTAAAGCTGACATTTCTGCGGTAAGTTTACATTCATTTGCTTTGTTTGGCTTTTTGTAAAATAAAGCTGAAAACACTTCAAAATAACATCATTTTGAAGAATGTGCCGAACCTGTGTATGAATCTCTGAAGAGTCTGAAAATGTGTCCGAACTTCAACACTCATATGAAAGGTGATTGTGTTTTAGGTATGTAAAAGATTTGCTGGATTCCTTCGGGTTGCTCTGTCAGACCCCAGTCCTGAAAGAAAGTAAGTACATTCCCTACTGGTAAGTACATTAGCTACTGGTAATTAGTGCTAAAAATGTTCAATGTGATAATTTATGACCTGTGTGTTTTCTTATTAAGATTTATTAGACGAGGATGGATCACTTTTGACAGGAGTGTAAACATAAAAGAAATCTGTTGGGACTTGAATAACATAAGGGTAAGAACAAACCTCACTGTGTTAACACTGCTGCTTACCTTTTCCATTATGCAGATCTACAAAATAATCTCTGATTAGAAATTATTAACCAAAAAAGTAACCAAGTTCTGGTTAATCCATCACATGAATTTAAGACTTAAAAAGTCATCAATAATTACGGTTTATGAATATAGTTTATATCTGACCACTTGCAGCCCAGAGGCTGAATTACGGGTGCAGTGTAAGGTTGAGAACAGAC